CATCAGGCACAAGGTGAGCTCACAACACATCCTGGTCAATTGATTGAACCCTGGGACTCACCTCTGAGGTTGCCCGTCCTCTATGGCAATTGCTTATTGAACCCTTACTATACGCAGGTCTAGCCAAACCTTCTGGCTCCAGAATACCCACGTCTTGGGAGCCTCAGTCCCGCCCTTCTGGAGGATCCATTCCTTCTGCCTTGGTCAACAGACTGACCTCACCCCTCCCTCCTTCCTTGTCTGTTTCCTGTCCCACCTCCATCAGTGCTGTGTTGCCAGGACCGCCCCCCGCCATTTGCTTGGTCCTGCCCCCACCCCCAGCCCCAGCCCCACTGCCAGCTGCTACTTTCCAGGTGTCCCCACTTCAGGGGGGCGGCTCCGTTTTACTTTTTTATTTTTTTAAACATCTTTATTGGAGTATAATTGCTTTACAGTGGTGTGTTAGTTTCTGCTTTATAACAAAGTGAATCAGCTATACATATACATATACATATACCCCCATATCTCCTCCCTCTTGCGTCTCCCTCCCACCCTCCCTATCCCACCCCTCTAGGCGGTCACAAAGCACCGAGCTGATCTCCTTGTGCTATGTGGCTACTTCCCACTAGCTATCTATTTTACATTTGGTAGTATATATAAGTCCATGCCACTCTCTCACTTCATCCCAGTTTACCCTTCCCCCTCCCCGTGTCCTCAAGTCCATTCTCTACGTCTGTGTCTTTATTCCTGTCCTGTCCCTAGGTTCTTCAGAACAATTTCTTTTTTAGATTCCATATATATGTGTTAGCATATGGTTTCTCTTTCTGACTTACTTCACTCTGTATGACAGAGTCTAGGTCCATCCACCTCACTACAAATAACTCAATTTCATTTCTTTTTATGGCTGAGTAATATTCCATTGTATATATGTGCCACATCTTCTTTATCCATTCATCTGTCAGTAAACATTTAGGTTGCTTCCATGTCCTGGCTATTGTAAATAGAGCTGCAATGAACATTGTGGTACATGACTCTTTTTGAATTATGGTTTTCTCAGGGTATATGCCCAGTAGTGGGATTGCTGGATCATATGGTCATTCTATTTTTAGTTTTTTAAGGGACCTCCATACTGTTCTCCATAGTGGCTGTATCAATTTACATTCCCACCAACAGTGCAAGAGGGTTCCCTTTTCTCCACACCCTCTCCAGCATTTGTTTATAGATTTTCTGATGATGGCCATTCTGACTGGTGTGAGGTGATACCTCATTGTAGTTTTGATTTGCATTTCTCTAATGATTAGTGATGTTGAGCAGCTTTTCATGTGCCTCTTGGCCATCTGTATGTCTTCTTTGGAGAAATGTCTATTTCGGTCTTCTGCCCATTTTTGGATTGGGTTGTTTGTTTTTTTAATATTGAGCTGCATGAGCTGCTTGTAAATTTTGGAGATTAATCCTTTGTCAGTTGCTTCATTTGCAAATATTTTCTCCCATTCTGAGAGTTGTCTTTTCATCTTGTTTATGGTTTCTTTTGCTGTGCAAAAGCTTTTAAGTTTCATTAGGTCCCATTTGTTTATTTTTGTTTTTATTTTCATTACTCTGGGAGGTGGGTCAAAAAGGATCTTGCTGTGATTTATGTCATAGAGTGTTCTGCCTATGTTTTTCTCTAAGAGTTTTATAGTGTCTGGCCTTATATTTAGGTCTTTAATCCATTGAATTTATTTTTGTGTATGGTGTTAGGGAGTGCTCTAATTTCATTCTTTTACATGTAGCTGTCCAGTTTTCCCAGCACCACTTATTGAAGAGGCTGTCTTTTCTCCATCGTATATTCTTGCCTCCTTTATCAAAAATAAGGTGACCATATGGGCATGGGTTTATCTCTGGGCTTTCTATCCTGTTCCATTGATCTATATTTCTGTTTGTGTGCCAGTACCATACTGTAGCTTTGTAGTATAGTCTGAAGTCTGGAAGCCTGATTCCTCCAGCTCCGTTTTTCTTTCTCAAGATGGCTTTGGCTATTCGGGGTCTTTTGTGTCTCCATACAAATTGTGAAATTTTTTGTTCTAGTTCTGTGAAAAATGCCATTGATAGTTTGATAGGGATTGCATTGAATCTGTAGATTGCTTTGGGTAGTATAGTCATTTTCACAATGTTGAACCTTCCAATCCAAGAACATGGTATATCTCTCCATCTGTTTGTATCATCTTTAATTTCTTTCATCAGTGTCTTATAGTTTTCTGCATACAGGTCTTCTGTCTCCTTAGGTAGGTTTATTCCCAGGCACCTTTTTAAAGAGAGTGTTGTTTCCTGTGACACTGGCAATCCTTCAGAATTGACAAGGCCTGTCTCTGCATCTCACACTCTGCCACCGGCTCTCAAGATGGGGCCTAAGTGACAGTCGCCGGCTCTGGCTGGCACTTGTGCTCCTCCCTCCCCGCTGGAGCCATAATCCTCCCCTTTAATATCACAGTTGTCTCCATGGCACTGAGTAGCCCTCACAGCTCTGCAGGGGCTCTCAGCCTTCGAGAAAAATGGAAACAACAGCAAGAAAGACCTTCTTAAGAAAAGGGTAGGCTTCCCTGGTGGCGCAGTGGTTGAGAGTCCGCCTGCCAATGCAGGGGACACGGGTTTGTGCCCTGGTCCGGGAGGATCCCACGTGCCGCGGAGCGGCTGGGCTGGTGAGCCATGGCCGCTGAGCCTGCGCGTCCGGGGCCTGTGCTCCGCAGTGGGAGAGGCCACAACAGTGAGAGGCCTGTGTACCGCAAAAAAAAAAAAAAAGAAAAGGGTAGTGTCCATCTCCACCCCCCATCCCTTCACCCTCCCGGGAAAACCATCTCTAGTAGAGAAGGTACCCAAGAACTGGGAGAATGGCAGAAAGACCCTTAGACAGAAGGCTCTGTTTGCCACTGCTGTTCCAAATGGTATTTTTAATTTTCCTGTTTAAGCAGCATGCCCAAGAGAGCTGGCTTCTGCCCCTGGTGTGACACGGGAAGCAGGGTGTCCAACAGCAGGATGGGCTCAGCTTCCAGAAGGGAGGCCCTGGAGTGAACCCCCTTAGGTCACCGGGGAGCTCAGGTCTGGGAGACAGGGAGTGGGAAGGGATGGGAAAACAATGCAGGTTTTGGAATTCCCAGCTATCTCTATGTGATGCTAACAGTTTGGCATGTGTTATGCCCACACCTACACATGTCAGACCCAGTTTTTTGTTTGTTTTTTTAAAATAAATACAAGATCAGCTTTATTGATTTATTTATTTATTTGGGTGCACTGTGCGGCATGTGGGGTCATAGTTCCCTGACTGGGGATCAAACCTGCAGTGGAAGCGTGGAATCTTAACCACTGGACCACCAGGGTTTTACGTGTTATGGGGGTTCTTCTTGATTCCCCCTGTCCCCTGCAAAACAGCTGTTCCTTGGGCATCCTTGGCCTCAGGATGTGCACCCTGCCAATGGATCTGGGGTAGAGGTCCTGGGAGCCGGCTTGGGGCTGTTGGGTCAGGAAATCCAAAGTCCCAGGTAGGGGAAGGGCCAGAGTAAGGCCCTCTGAAGCACAAGCTCAGCGCAACGTCTCTAGGTGGCAGGGGCCCCAGGAGCAAGTGTTTGTTGGGGTTTATCCAACACTGGCTGAAAGGGAGAGACAGATGCCACAAGTATTCCAGACTCAAGAGAGGCATTTGCGACAATGACAAGTGATGATTGGTTCATAGGGCCCCACTGTGCGCTGGCTTCCACTAGCCCCCAGTCCATGCTCACCTTTGGACCGATAAGTCATTTTCCCTATCGTTCTGGAACAAGGAGGAGCTCCAAAGAGCAGAGGGAGTCTCTGTCCACCAAAAAGTAACAGCCCCTCTGTAAATTGCTCCAGGGCAATTCTTTTTTATCAGTCTGGGGTGAGTTAGCATGAGTCAACCCCCCCTTGAGCCCAGTTACCCCTGGTTACCTTTGTCCCTCTTACCCTAGACTTTTAAAATTAATTTTTATTGGAGTCGAGTTGATTTACAATGTTGTGTTAATTTCTGCTGTACAGCAAAGTGAATCAGTTATACACATATCCACTCGTTTTTAGATTCTTTTCCCATATAGGTCATTACAGAGTATTAATTAGAGTTCCCTGTGCTATACAGTAGGTTCTTATTACTTATCTATTTTATATATAGTAGTATGTATATGTCAATCCCAATCTCCCAGTTTATCCCTCCCGCCTTCCCTTTTCCCATTGGTAGCTGTAAGTTTGTTTTCTACATCTGTGATTCTATTTCTGTTTTGTAAGTGGGTTCATCTGTACCATTTTTTTAGATTCCACATATAAGCGATATCATATGGTATTTGTCTTTCTCTGTCTGACTTATTTCACTCAGTATGACAATCTCTAGGTCCGTCCATGTTGCTGCAATGGCGTTAGTTCATTCTTTTTTATGGCTGAGTAATATTCCATTGTATATAAGCGCCACATCTTCTTTATCCATCCATCTGTCCATGGACATTTAGGTTGCTTTCATGTCCTGGCTATTGTAAATAGTGCTTCAGTGAACATTGGGGTACATGACCCCAGACTTCTGCCCTAGACTTTTAACAGGACAAGTACTGGCATTTGGGTGGGATGAGTCTTTTTGTGTAGGACTGTCCCGGCTCATTGCAGGATGTTTAGATGATCCCTGGTCCAGACCCAGTGATTATTGAGAGCCAGGAGCAGTCCTTAGTCATGGAGACAACCAAAGTCCCACATGGTTCTACGCACGGCCTCTCCCATGTGCAATACTGCCTCTCTACTTGGGAACCACTGCTCAAAGTAAGGAATGGACTTGAGGACACGGGGAGGGAGAAGGGGAAGCTGGGACGAAGTGAGAGAGTGGCATGGACATATATACACTACCAAATGTAAGATAGATAGCTAGTGGGAAGCAGCTGCATAGCACAGGGAGATCAGCTCGGTGCTTTGTGTCCACCTAGAGGGGTGGGATAGGGAGGGTGGGAGGGAGACGCAAGAGGGAGGGGATATGGGGATATATGTACATGTATAGCTGATTCGCTTTGTTATACAGCAGAAACTAACACACCATTGTAAAGCAATTATACTCCAATAAAGATGTTTAAAAAGAATATATACAACTAGGGAAGAAAAACTCGGGGAAAGCCATGGTCAGTTGGGAGACACAGACATGAGAATAGACAGATACAACAGATCAGACAGAAATGGGGACAGATAAACCATCCTGGGGGGCAGCCAGGACAGTTTATGATAAACCTGATGCACTTCTACCAACTGATACAATCAGCAAAATTGGCATTTGGTTCTTTTCTTTCCATGAGAGAGAGAGGTGAAGACACCTTTGAACCCAGCTGCCACCTCGAAAGAGACAATCAGCCAGTTTACCAAGTCTCCTCCCCCGAACATCCCTTTGGGATTTGGAAACCGGATGAGATGAAACAGACAGATCTGTCTTTCTCTTTCATTCTCCCTCCCAGCCTGCCCCTCCCCGACCTCACGGCGGTCCTATCCCTAATGGAAGCCAATTGCTGACAGATTGGTGGCAGGTTGCTTTGCTGTCTTCCTAAGTGGCTTTTCCCCACTTAGAGTAGGAGGCAGCTGCTGGCAGGGCCAGCAAAAATGTCAGGTCGTAAACAAGCTGGCCAGCAGCTCCATTCATTAGAGCAACTCAGTGCTGTGCCTCAGGCCCAGACTGCAGCCCAGTCTGGGGCGAGTCAAAGTGGAGGTCTCTGTGCCCACATTCACTCCCAGGAAGGGTCCCTGGGGATGAGGCCAGCACTCCAGTCCTTTCCCCTGCCCCCTCCCGTCCCCAGGGCTCAGCCTCAGAAGAGCCCTGCTCAAGGGGAGGACTGAGGTAGAAGCCCTCCAGGGCCCCAGGGAGGACTCTTTCCTTCCACTGTAGAGAGAGGACACAGAACTGCAGAAGGGGAAGCAATCTACCTGCACCCTGCTTTGCCAGCTTTGTCATTCTGTCGCTCGAACCCAGAGTGGTCACTGTATCAAAGGCCCCATCCCTGCATCCCCGCACACACATCTGACCCAGGCAATCGGCTGAAGGGCCCAGGGGCCTAGAATTCCCAAAGGATGCTGAGTGGAGGCCCCATGTGGAGTGTGGCGTGTGTCCAGCACGTGAGTTGTCTGGGTCCCTTCCCCAATTGTCACCTAAAATTAAGAAGGAAGACCCTTTCTTCCTCCATCAGGACCACGGGAACGCAGCTCTGCTTTCATAGCTGGCCTCCGTTTCCCTCCTCTGCTCCAAAACAAATCGACAGGGGCATTGTGTGCTGCTACTGAGAGCAACAGGCCACTTCATCGAATCTGTGGGACCTCGGGGTATGAACCGTGTATAAATACAGAGCACGGAGATTGATAATTACTATCTTTACCACTTACTGAGCACCAACAATCCGTGATAGTCTCTGAACCAAGCTCTTTCTATACATCAATTTATTTGATGCTAATAACAATCCCATGAATTGGGTGCTATTATTATTCCTCATTTTTAAAGCCAAGGCAACTGAGGCTCAGAGACGTTAAATAACTTGCCAAGGACCACACGTGTGCCATGCTCTACTCCATGGAGCACTGTACATAGAACAGAGACTTAATACTTGACAAACCAAAGAGTGAATTCAATACTCAGTTTTGTCTTCCGTGACTCAAACTTCTAACCCCACCCTGCAGCCAAACCCAGCCAGCTAAGCTATCTGCTTATTCAGTAAAGACTTACGGAGCACTTACTCGATTTTGTTCACTGCTGTGGGTGGGTACAAAAAAAGCAGCCACTGGAAAAGTTAATGGAAACACTCAACTAATAAAAAGTTAGCAACATTTAACATTAACTCGAATTAATTTCAAGGTTACCTGTTTCCACTTTTAGCTAATTAAATGTTAGTGAAATGGTGCAGAACTACTTGACTACAGAGTAAGGTAGCGAAAGGGCTCTGGATTTGAAGTCAGGGATCCTGGGTTCCAAAACCTCACAAGCCCCCTCAGCACGCGAACAGAGCAAGACACGGTCCAAGCCCCTGCCTGCATTTCCAACCTGAGACTGAGAATCCCTCCCACCATCACAGAGTCACCGTCAGGACTCAGAGGGAAAACGCACAACAGTGAGATTTATAAACCTTAAAGCTCCAGAAACATGGGAGATGGCATTCTTTTTTCTTTTTTCTTTTTTGAAGATTGAAATTAGTCCATTGACAGTGTTTTTTTTTCAAAAGCAATTAACGGGCAATTTGTCCATAAGCTCATGAATTTACTTGAAACTTTCTCTGAAAACAATTTGCTCTTCCCACATGATTTGCAGTATGACAACATAACAATGTTGCTAGACTACCATGTGAAGGATTTTTCAATTTGATGATAGCAGAGAAGGGAAACCATAATTAAAATAAGGAAGGACAGTGACACGGGTTAGCGCCAACAGCCTGGTCATTGGGTTTGCGTCTCATTTTCAACAGTTTTCACACTTGGTGGTGTTTTATAGGAATCGGGCACCTTTCTTTCAGTCCAACCAGACGACAAGCTCCCGAGGGCAAGAATAGTGCCTTCACTATCTTCTCACCCCTACACCTCCCGCCGCCTAGCACAGCCCCTCTCTGGAAGGGAACAGTGTGGGAACGTCTATTGCACAGGCCAGAATAACACAGGAAGCATCCCATACCCCCAGTCAAGGGTCACGTTCGACAGGAAATGCTATCAACTTCACGGTTAGGTTTGAATTTTGATTAAGGAATCAATCAGGGGAGAAAAAAGCAAAAGAAGGAGCGTGTCATCCTTGGAGCGACGCGGCTACAGCGGGTCAGCTGAACCTGTCACATCCCCGTGGGCAGTTGTGATTCTAATAATAGACGACGCCCATGGAGCGCTTCCTTGGTCCATTGCTATGTTCAGCTCATTTAATTCTCTCGACAACTATGAAGTCCGGTGAGTAGTCCTGCTTTGCAGATGAGGGGGCAAAGCACAGGGAGGTCAAGAAACCTGACCACACCCACGAAACACAACCCACAGCTGAAGGGTGAGCTGAGTTCCCACTGGCCCCAGAGCCCTGAATCCTGGACCACTGAGTAAACTGCCTCTGGATGCAGCAAGCAGAGTAAGTTATCTTGGTTTCCACTCAAAATGAGATCATTCTCCAACTTTCCAAAAACGGAGAGAGCCAAAGAGGACAATGATGTTTTTCCCATTCAGGTAAGTCCAGATTTGTGGGTAGATGGATGGAGCGGAGCCGCACTTGGCTTTTAGCCAGAGTCAGAGGGGCCGTCTTTCTACTGGCTATGACTGATCCAAGATGGGGCCTTGCTGACGTAATTTTGCAAACTTAACAAGTGAACTAGAGACAAGGGCCAGCGCTGCTGTGCAAACTGGCCAGAGGTATTTCTTGGTTGGGAATGTCTCTCCCTCCCAGTCATAAACAGAGTACAATGTCGGAGCTGAACGCTGGCGAAATGACTTGGCTGGTTACCAAGTATTTTTAACAGCAGCATCCTTCAATTTCTCTCCCTTGGCTTGACCTAACTATGGAGGAGATGGAGGCCTGGCAAGACTTGGAGCTTGCTTGGAGAGCCATACTCTGCAGCCGTGGAGGGAACCATGAGACTCAAGACCCTAGTACAGTGACTAGCAAATGAGGGGATACAGCAAATGGGGCACGTGTGCACGTGCAGACACACAGCCTGGCAGTCCTAATAGCACTAAGGACCTGTGGCATTGTGCTTCCTGGTAGACCCAGTCTTGGTGTCGGGGGAGACTTGTACCCTCAAGCTCTCTCTAAAAAGGTTTTCAGAAAAAAATATTATTCCACACTGAGGATATTGAATGAATGAGTGAATATTAATCATTTATGAACTCCAAAAAAAACCTAATTCTCAAAATGTTTCAGGTCTCTAACACACTTTTAAGCCAGTTCAAGCTAAGTCCTTTCAAATTATTGAACGTAAACACTGACCATTATTTAACTATAATGACATCATAGATAAGACATTAATCTTTTAGCTCATTTGTTACTGGTTTATTCCTACACCCACAGGCGTGAGGAATCACCTCTGCCCACAAGGAGCTTGCGCCTAGTAGGAAAGAGGAGGCATGTACATGAATAATCTCAATTCAAGGCACTGTGTGATCAATGCCACGTGTAAGTAAAGAGAGGGAGCGTTTGCTTCTAGGTGGGCAATCAGAGGAGACTTCGTGGAGGAGTCACCTCGGAAAGGAAATTGAAGAATTGAGAGCAGGATTTTTACTAAGTAGATTTGGAAGGAAAGGGGAGGAAAGGAGAAAGACTCAAAATTGGGTTAATGGAATAAAAAGCGAACCAGTTTAACCTGAGCATGAAGTTTCTGTGGGGTGATGAGTGTGGCATAGTATTGGGAATGTAAAGTGGGACCAGATTGTGCTAAGCTGTGAATGTCAAGGTAGGGCTTACGGGATTTATTTGGGATACAATGGGGAGACACTGAAGGTTATTGAGCAGGGAAGACAAATGATCAAATTAGTTTGTTCCCAGTCCCTATTTTTTTGAGAACATATGATCCCCTCTGGCAGACACTACATATAGCCTAGACTAAAGCCAAAAGTACTCTCCCAGGCAGCGGCGAACCTGGCCGTGCTTCCTGCCTGCTCTCCGTGCCCAGAAAGCTCTTGCATTTGTCCCCTTTCTGGGCACGTGGCCGAGGTCAGCTTACCTAAGCTGCTCTCTCTAACTCCTGCTTTACTGAACACACTCCATGGTTCTTCAATGAGGCTCCAGATTCTTCTGCAGCGAAAATTCAATAACGTCAAATCTTTCCCTATTCCCAGAAAAATAAGTTAATTGCCTTAATTATAAATTTTTCAACTATAAAGTTATTGTTAAGTGTTGGCCTCTGCTACAGCTCACCTTTAATAGAATCTAGCATGAGATGCTACTTGATTAAGTACAAAATTATATTTTTAATTTGCCTGGGTTTTGAAGTTGGGCCCATCTGGACGGGAATCCTTGGTCCACCACTTACCAGCTCTGTGACCTTCGGCAAATCAATTGCCTTTTCTGAGCCTCAATACACTCGACTGCAAAATGTGGGCAGTTATGCCTTTCCCACCCAGTGTTAGGAGAACGAAATGAGATTAAGCACAGGTGGAGTGCCTAGACAAGTGGCAGGGTTTGGAAGGACTCAACAAGAGCTTTGTCCCTCGTTCCCTCGCCCACTCCTTCTCACTTCTCCCGCCCTTGGGGGTGAGAAGTGTGCTTCCTGCCAAGGCTGGACTTACCAGCATCCTGAGATGCTCCGTAAAGTGGGAGGCAGTGCCACAGGGTGGAACCAGCATGGACTCTAGGTGTAAGACAGAACTGGGTTCAAATTCTAGCAGTTCTCACTGGTGGCGTAATTTGAGCAAAACGTTTGTCCTCTCCAGTCTTCATCTCCTCCTATGAGAAATAACAGCAGTGCAGTTACTGCGATGATTCAATGAGCAGGTACGTGCAATGTCCCTTAGCCTCTCACTTAGTAGGGCTCAACTAATGTTAGCACTAGAAGCTTCCAGGAGCCAACCCTGGCAAGTTTGAGGACTGTCAGGCTCAGTTCTCTCCCCTCTTAAACCCACTGTTCCTGCTTCCACTTTCCTCTTCTTTTCTCAATAGTTTCCATCTCCTTGCATTCCATTTGCCCAGGAGGAGGTATATTATAATGAGTAATCATGTTGTCACCCAAGACAGACAGACCTGCATAGGAATCTTGGCTCCATTATTCAGAAGCCCAGTGACCTGAACCAGAGGGTTCAGATTAAATGAGAAAATGCAGGGAAAGCGCCTAGAAAAGCGCCCACTTGCGGCAGCCCTGTTGAGGGTAAGCCCTGTCACTGCCATGTGTTTTGCTCTTGGCGGCATCCAGCTCCATCAGCTCTGTCATCATTGCCTCTTCCCGGTCATCTTGGGCTCCTGTCCAAATTCACATTCACAAACCCACAGCAGTACTGATCCTCTTACCTTCAAAAACAAAAACCAGGGTCCCACATATATATATGACTGGTGGGGGGTGCTCATTTCCTGAGGGAAACTGGAGGGGTTGGCAGCCAGCACAGAGGAAGGTTAGTGGGCCCAGCAAAGGAGGCCAAGTTGATGATTTCCTATTCCTTCTTTGTACATTTTGCTTAAAGCAAAGCTCATTGCCACCTCCCCTCCTTAGTCAAAGGAACTGTTATTTCTGCCAACTTTCCCTGCAGACATTAATTAACTCTCTGCAAGGCATGGCCAGATCCCACAGAAGTCAGTGCCCCATAAGACAGAAGGGGACCCAAGTGGTACCTCCTCTCCCCTGCATGCACCAGGGAGGGGTGGCCATTTGTCCTCTGTCCCGGCCAGCCCAGGAGAGCTGGGGACTTTAGCCTCAGAAAGTCGGCTTCGGAGAAGGGAATTATCCTATATTCCTGAAAACCAGAGAAATGCCCTTGCTGCAGCAAGGATCTAAAGTATTAAAGTAATCACTTCCATTTGTATTTGCTCTGCTGTTTACAACTCATTGACCCCTATATCACCTCACTTCTTAGAGCTGGAAAGACCTTAGAAAAAAGGTCATCCGGCTTTTTCATTTCACTGTGAGGAAATGAGGTTGGAGAGGCTGTGAGACTTGCTCAGGGTCATCGGAAATGCATTTGGCTGAGCCCAAATGAGATCTCAGCCCCAGGGTTCCTTCCACAGCTCCCCACAGTAGGACACAGCCGCTACTCTGGAAGCAAGTTCGGGCGTTGAGTAGACACAAAGTCTATCCATTTCTCAGTTAGCATTTATATTATATTGAGCGCCTACTATGTGCCAAACACTGCGCTAGTCACTTTCATGTATATTATTTCATGGGATTATCTTGCCCAGTTTCAGACCCCGGCCAGCACTGACTGGCACATAGTAGCTGCTCAATGAATGTGGGTTTTCTTCTTTGCTTTGGGAGCTGCGTTGGGAGTAGAAAGAGAGTGGGTTTGGAGTCAGTCTAGGTTTGAATCTCATCCCTACCACTTGTCAGCTTTTTGGCTTTTACCTCCCTAAGCCCCAGTTTCCATATCTCTAAAATGGAGACAACAATGAAATTGGAGTATGGTGATAAGCTATTGCATGTGAAGGACCTATTACTCATAATAAGTACTCAATCAATTATAGTCATCTCTGTCATTCAGTGTGCTGTTATTGATATTGTTACATGCCTTCAAGGAGTCGATAATCTCAGAAGACACATATACACATAACCACAAAGCAAACCACAGAGACCAGTGGAGGGCTATAGAGGTTCCAGGAATGCCCTTATGTCTGGGGATGATGGAAGGATTCCTAGAACAGGTGTCACTATAGTTGAAGGAGTTGAACAGATGGTGGGGGCAATGATGCTGGGAAAAGAGCAAGGGTAAGGATGGGGAGGCAAGAGAATACAGCAAGTATTTAGGTCCAAGAAGGTAGAAATTTAGAATTTTTGGAAGACTCGAGGTTTAGGAGAGTAGTGAAGATAAATCTGGAACAATAGGTAGGATCAAATTGTGGAGGCTAAAGACTGAGGACCTTATTCTGCTAGCAGTGGGGACTCAGAGAAACATTTTGAATAGAGTAATGGTACGAAAATACCTAAGACTTAAAGTGATGAATTTGGCCAAGGGTTCAGTGTAATTTGGAAGGCAGATATCAGAGACTAGAAGCTACTGCAAGAGACCCAACTTGAGCAAATGAACGCCTGACAGAAGGAATAACATGGGGAGTGAAAATAAAGAGATATAAGACAAAGATCAGAGGTAAAGTAAAGAGGACTGAGCCACAGATTGGATGTGGAGTGAGGGAGAGAGAGGAATCAAAGATGGCTGGGGTGGAAGAGAGCTGAGAGAAGGGTGATGCCATCATCTCAGTGGGGAAGTAGCAAATGTTGATCAGAGACAAGGAGAAAGAACAGGAGGTCCCTTGCAAGGAGGGCTGAGGAGACCTCGTTATGCAGAAAGAGATGGTGGAAAGAAAGATGCTGAAGGTACAGGAAAGAGAATAACCAAGAAAGCAAGACCCTGCACGAGGCCAGAAGCCTTGTGGGGCCTCAGTCAGGACATGGGCTGGGAGTAGAAAGACAAAGGAAGAACTTTACGGTGGAGAGATGGAAAACTGAATTTCTTTGTCATACTCTCATTCATTCCATACACATCCACTGAGTACCTATTACCTGCCAGACAGGAAGCTGACCCTTGTTACCCTGCATCAGACTTCCAGCAACTTGGAGGCAAGGCCATCTGCTCAGGGAGAGGGGGTTAGGGTCCTTGGGAACTTATTTAGAAAGTCAATTCCTTGGCCCACTCCCTCCCCCACAACAATACCAATTCAGGATCACTCTCCAGGCGGTTCTTTGGGAGATATCCCAAGACCACAGTTGGAGAAACCGAATTAGAAGCTCGCAGGAGTTTGGGGGTCACAGCTGAGATCCCAGATTTGCAGAGGACCCAGGCTACATCCTTCACAGTCATCCTAGGAGTGTGGGCGTGAGGCAGTAAGTGGGGCTCACCCATCGTTGGGATGAACAAGGAAATAGCAGGTGAAGGGAAGGGGGATGATTGCAGGAATCACTAGGAAAACACTGCAAGTGGCCCGACTCTAATCTTCATTAGGCTTTGCACACCCCACAATTCTGACTTCATCTTCCAACTTTTCCCAACCCCTAAAAACCCTTCTAGGAGCTCCAGAGAACTAGACTCCTAAGGCTTCTAGGCTTCCTTCAACTCTGATATTTAATTACAGTTACACTTAACACATATCCAATGATCAGGTCTGTTCAAAGGAGGAGACAATCCTCATGATAGTGCCTAATGTTTTTGATGAATGTCACGGTGTTCAGAGAAATTTCATGCACATTACCGTACAGGATATTACATCAGCATTCCTCCAAGTATGAGCCATAGACCACCAGCATCAACATCACTTGGGAGTATGGTAGGCGCGCACATTTGTAGGTCTCAGCCATGACCTGATATATCAATCATCTTGAGAGCCAGGACCCTGGAAACTGAACCTGTAATATGCCCTGGGGTGATTCTAAAGAAAACTATAAATTGGCAATTTATAATCTGGTCTCTGTCCCTAATTCCTGGTACAGAGCTTCAAAAATTCTTAGAATTTCCTGATAGGAGTGTCTTATTCATAATGAGCCTCTTTTGATCATTCCTGAGTTTATGCTAATTGTGAGCCATTAGATAGTTCCAAGGGAGGGGATGGCCATGCCAGAATGACCAGTCCCACCCCCTAACCTCTGGGGAGGAGAGAGGGACTGGAGATTGAGGTCCATCATGTAGCTATTGATTTAATCAAATGTGCCTATATAATAAAACGCATATAAAAACTCTGGACACTGAAGCTCAGTGGACCTTCCTGGCTGGTGAACATATTATGTGTTGGGAGGTGACTAGACCTGATTCCATGGAAGCTCTGGCCACCCCCCACCCTGAGACCATTTGGAAGTTCCTGAGTTGTATCCTTTACAATAAAACTGTAATTGTAAGTATAGCACTTTCAGGGAGTTAGCAAATTAACCAACCTAAAGGGAGGTTATGGGAACCCCTGAATTTGTAGCCAAGTCAGACCGAAGTGCAGGTAAGATAGAGCCCCATTTGTGGCTGGCATCTGAGTTAAGAGCAGTCTTGTTGGGGACCTTGGTCTTTAACTCTGGGATCTGATGCTAACACCGGGTAGTGTCAGAATTGAATTGGACTGCAGGACACTCAGTGGGTGTCAGGGAATTGTCAGAACACAGGAACCATAGCCCTATATAAGTCAAACCACAATCTTGTAAGTTACATATCAACATCCCATGTTACAGGTGAGGAGACTGAGAGACAGGGAGGGTAAGTGACTCCCCCGTAGGCAGGGAGCTATTCTGGAGAAAAGCAGGAATATGAAGTTGGGTCCTTGGCCCCAGGTCATGCCTCTTCCCTCCAGGGTACAGCTGCCTCATGGTCCACTATACCCCCAAGTTGGTAGTAAAATCACAAAGCTTAGGGGCTGGGACCAGCCTTGGGTTTGGGGGTGAGGGTCGGGGGGATCACCTAAGTCAACCCAACAGAGCCAGCTGCCAGGGAGGTAATGAAAAAGAGCTGAGGCTCTGAGACCTTTGAAAGTTTAAATTCTATACCTTTCTGACTGTGTGTGTCTTGTGTAATCCTCAAAGATTTGTCATTGTGACAGCCTTGGAAAATTACAGGTGACTTGAAGCAATTTAGTGATAATAAAAATAAAATCAAAACAGTAAACAGCACTGCTTCTCCCTCTAATTTCCCAGCATCTTTATCATATAAATGCCTCCTATTCTTTTCTTCACAGACGATTAATGGAGCTGCAATTGCCATGCTGGATGCTGTGCTCACATCTCCTTAATTCTCCTTCTGCTGTAGCTCCAGCACTGGGGACGCCCCTCCCAGCTT